ACACACACACACACACACACACACACACACACACACACACACACACACACACACATATATATATATATATATATATATATATATATATATATATATATATATATATATATATATATATACACACATATATATCTATGTATGTATATATATATATGTATATGTGTATGTATATATATATGTATATATGTATGTATGTATGTATGTATGTATATATATATATATATATAATTTTGTCTATTTTTCTTTACCATTGCATTGTTAAAATGTGCATTGTCTGTTGGTTTATGCCAATGTGATTTGTGATTATTAGTTAACAGGTTGATAAAAAGACACAAAGACGTTTTTGCCATTCAATTTTGTAGCAAAATTGTTTTTGTTAACCTTTAAATCAAAATACTGATTGCAAAATTGGCAATTCATATATTGTACTGAAAAGAGGGAGCAAGCAAACTGCATTTCCGCATAAAGTATTTTGCAAAGTGGGTTGTGCATGTTGCAAACTGTTCAATATAAATCCTACATAAACTGCTGGCATAGTACAAAATACCATGTTAAGTCATGGTCATATTAACACTATTGCCTATTAGCAATAATATAGCAATGTATGAAGCACAGCTCGTCATTTCAAAGGATCTCCGGGTTATAATCTATAAACAAGACTAAAACCATAAAACTAAAACCTTTTTATAGATTTCTTTTAATATACTTTTTATATAGATTTTATATATTCTTTTTATATTTCAGCAAACTGATTTGAAAATGTTTCTTATTTTCAATTAATGTAATCTGATGTAGCGAAACTCCTATTTAAATGACTGGATTTTCCTCTGAAAATTTGTGAATGGTAAATGTGACTTCAACTTTTTTTTCAACTTGCATTATCACAAACACAGCCTCAAAAACTGAGAAAATACAAAAAATCCATATTGTTAAAAAACTGTAGTGCTCTTTTAAATCCCTATATTTGACTGACAGACACTAGGTACAAACTTTGGTGCTTTACTTTATGAGAATATATATCATCTATATCCCCATTCATTATATATAACTTTGAAAAAAAAACACCTCACGGCCAAAGGATACGAGGTGTTCCCTCGGTTCGGCAGACGAGGTAGAGGCAGGCGGCGATGACATGAGTTGATTTGCGTCCTTTGGTCAGATGTTTAGAGAGAGCCATCTTATAAAAGTTGAAGGCAGTGTCCAGACAGTGCTGATTCATCTGAAGCTGATGACCAAGGTGATTTATCTGTCGCTTCGCTGAGTAAAACACAAACAAAACACCACAGTCAAGCTTTTTCACAGCAGGATTAGTCGCAGAGAAGTTAACAGCGGGGCCACACAATGAAAAAAAAACTCCTGGTTTCTTCTTTTGGGGTTTAAACCAAAAATTGCTTTTGGGCACTGATTATATATTATTTAGATTTTTTGTTGTTGTTATTTTTCAAAGTCAAACAACGTGAGATTTCTGACTTTATGCGGGAGGGGAAAATATTTTTAAAAAATATTATTATTTTAACTTTACAAGATATAAGATCCTAATAAGTGGAATTCATGGAAATTATTTTGCTTTCATTGAATTCATAACTCATGATTAAGCCCACACGGAATCTGTGCGTGCAGAAATCCACAGTTTTCTGCAGATTTTTACCTCATCATTGAGACAATATATTTACTTGAGTAAATGTGTGTAAATTTACATTATTCAGTTTTAAAATAAATTTCAGTAATATCTTAGACTAATATGAAAGTGTTCATTTGATTTATTTACAATACAGTTAGTAAAGTAATATTTTCTGTCTTTTAGTTCATATTTTATATGATAGACTTGTTTGTTTACTAAATAAGTGGACTTGCATACTCCCATCAAAATTCTCAGCTGAAAAAGCAAATAATGTCCACAGATTCTGTCTAGCCCTACTCATGACTTCTTCAAATTCAAGAAACAACATACATTTAAAATCTGAAGTTTTAAAACAAAACCATTTAATTTCATTTGCATAAACATTCACTTTCAGATTAAAAACTTGATCAAATGATCAAAAAACATGATAGCAACAAAAACAACAAAAATGTTTTGTCCCCTTGCTAAAAACTATGGTCAGAATGTCTTTAAATGCAGTGTCCTATCCCAGGCTAATGTGCAATCAACACATCACTTTAAACAAGGGATAAAACACATCCAGGCAATTATAATGACAGAGTAAAACCAGACAGATTTATCGGCAGCCCAAAACAAAGTGGAGGACTTTTGTATAAGACTGAAGGGCTTTTTAGCAAAAAAAAACCACCTGGATGTAATTTATCCAGCCTATTACAGGGCTACTTGCCACAAACCGTTAAGATTGAACACTAAAAGAATTTTATGAGCAATAATAGTTATTATCTATAGCATATATGGATCTGAACCTGTTCATGATGGTCAAGACGTTTGAAAATACCCGGATGAGCCAGTATAATTCAGGGGTGGCTATCCTATTATTACATACAGATTTCCAGACATCAGTGTGAAAAAGTAATGCTTAAAGTAATGCACATTTGCTATTATTTAAAAAAAAAAAGTATAGGTTAACTATTAAACTTATTTCTACAGACACTACAAGATTTAGTTCCATTATAAATGAGCACCTGCTCTAGACGGGCTGTCAGAAAGCAGATATGAGCTCTTGAGAGTGGGAGTTCAACATCTTCAGGCTGAAAGCAGGTCTGTTTATACAGACTGCGAAGATCTCACAGAGCATCTTTTGTTCTCTCACCACACACAGATAGTATAAATCTCAATACAGACGTGTGGTCATTAATCACACGTGTACATTCCCTCACATGCACACAAATAAAGTGGCCTCTGCATTTCCCTCCCAGCGCACTCACAGACCATACGCTTGTCTGACCCAAACTGATTCATCGCTTACTACACAAAAGCACATAAACCCACCACACCTTCTGACTTCTCAGGCTTAATAAGCCTCTTTCAAAAACAACCATTACCATCTGGCTGAAACCAACCTCACACGCTTAACTTGCAACCACATTACACAAGCCCACAGCTTGAAAAGAATCCCCTGTTTTCTAAGGAACACACATTGCATATACAGAAGAACCATCTTGCACAATCGAGTAGTTTAAGGGAACCGAACATTATATGGACATCTCAAACACTCACAATACTGTTCAAAATGAGAACTGTCAGTAAAACAGCACCATCTAATAATGAGAGATGCTATTGACAGATACTTGCTTTTAATCATAAATTATATATACAAGAGGCTCTGACTGGTCAGCTAACATAAATGTGCTTTGATTCGCAGATCAGCTCCACGTCACCAGGAAGTGTCATGCCGCTACAAGCACAAGCTTTTGTGCTGTGTACATACCATCAGTCAGAGAAGCTGTATGAGTTTGAGCCTGAATCAGGCAGAAAATGACACAGAGGACACAGCTGAACTTCACACCTGCTCTCTAAAATAAGATCTGACAAGTGTCTTTCACATATATTCAGAATAAGCAATAGAGCTGTGAACCTACACTAGTCTCACGGTTCGGTTCGGTTACGATTATCATGCCATCGATTTGGTTCAATTCGATATTTTGGTGCACCACGGTGCATTGACGGTGCTTTTCATACACAGTTTTATATTTTCTTCACAGCAGCATTTCTTGTATTAAAATGTATGAATATATTTATATTTATATACTATTTGTAATACAATTTTGTCATTTAATACAAACAGTCAGATATATAAACTGTAATTTTAAACAAAACGAGCATTTAGCAAATAATATAAACAAATATAAATATCCAGCTCAATTTCTGATCCTTGTCTAGTTCTCTTACACCCCTTTGATTGGTCACACCCTCAAAAAAACGGTTGCGATCGGCTCTTGTGCGCTGCGCTCTTCACAGATGAGTGACACTGATGTGCGGCAGGCGGCAGCGGCGATCACAGCTAATGTATGATAGACACGGTGGAGAAAACTCTGCAGACACGCGCTCGTTTCTGTATGCAAAAGTAACGCTGTAAAACAGCCGAGAAGAGAAGAAAAGCCACTCCAGCAGGTCAAATGGGCCACTGTGTGTGTGTGAGAAAGAGAGAGAGAGAGACAGAGCGAGAGAGAGAGAAAGAGAGAGAAATGGAGTAGGCTACTTTCACTCTCTCGATCTCAGTGAAATAAGGGCTATTGTTGTATATGTCAGTGAAAGACTGATCCAGCAAACACACACAGTGAAATTGTGCACAGTTTATGAGTTTTAAGAATTGAATGCGCTGTAAATACTCACGATCGCCTCCCTCGCGACAGAGCGCATATAAGGTAAATGACGTCAGTAATAACCGGTTATGATTATTACTAAACCGATACCAATTGTCCAATTGCCCAACAGCATTTCCCGTTGTTTACATCCTCGCTACAACACACCGTTAATGCTAGACACTGTGCATGCAGTTGATCAATTTTAATAAATAAAAATACTTACAAGTCGTGGCTCACAATTCACAGCTTTGTCTATTGTGGTTGGAGGAGTTTTAAGCTGATTCCAGCACTGAACTGGGAGAGATTCTGGAAGCTGTCCTTTGTCAAATGCTAGCTATACATTTTTTATAATTCTCTGGAACATAATTAAAATTAAATTGTAAGCACTTCTCTCTTTGTGTCGTGTTCTTTGGCAGGTCAAATACAGAAACAGAAGAAGCTCTGTGAAAATAGCAACTTTTGGACAGCATTTTAACTTTCTTTGCTATAACATTACAGCGACTCTGGCCACGCCCCTTTGCTGAGCGGGGTATATGTGCACCGTAAATGCGTGTAACCTGAAGCATTTGTGATCTCACTAGCCCGGATGTATCTTTTTGTAGTCCCTAAACTTTGTTTACTAAAGGCTTTGCTAAACTATCTCTGTAAAAGCTAATGTCTCTCTTTGCATTGAACTTTCAGTGTATTACATTCAGAGATGGTGTTTATGTTTACATAGCTACATTACACATCAACTAAAGTTTAACATATAATATCATAGTGGACCACTCCTTTAAGTTAAACGCTAATATTTGATCCTTTCAAAATTCTGTAACAAGTTTAGCTCACAGTTCTTGTTATTAACAAATGGCTTATTTTACGAAAGTCCTTCATGAGGTCATGCGTTATTATATTTTTCTTAATTTCTTGTGATCTTGACATATCAATAGTTGTTACATGATCACAACTTATTTCTCTCGTTATTTTTATATAACAAAAGTTGATTTCTGAAGTTTTTGACTTTTTTTTTCTCTGATATTTCTAAGAAGATGTCATAGACACGCATACAGCAGCATTATTTTCAGGAATTCACTTTTTTTTTTAAAGTAATTGTAAATAACTTGTAGAAAGGACGCATTAAGTAAAGAGCAGGATCTTCATCATTCTTCAAAATCTAATTTATACATGTATGCAACAATTTATGAATGCATGGCCTCTTAAGACTTCCGTACTTATTACCTGCCTATTATTATTATATTAACTGTTTATTAATAGCTATAAAGTATGAAAGTATTACAATATATAAAGTATTATAAAGTAACCCTAATTCTGCCCAAAACCAAAACCCAACTTCTAGTTTACCAATTATTATTAAACAGCTATTTAGTTGTTTATCAAGCTAATAGTGGTAGTTGATGGTTTGATAATACCATAAATTGGGACCTAAACTAATTTTGATACTTAAAAATGAAATGATAATGATACTTAAAAATAATGAAATTAATATAAATTATAATTTTGAACTTTTAATATGCTTCATAAAAACTGTTTTTAAAATATAACTAGTTTCCACAAAAAATAACAAGTAGCATTGTCTTCAACATTCAACAATTAATAAAAAAAGACTTTTTGAGTCGCAAATGAGCATATCAGAGTGCTTATAAAGAAGCATGAGACACTGAACTTCAGTTTGGACATTATAAGTATAAATGACTTTTTAAAATATATTAAAATAGAAACATGTTATTTTAAATTGTATTAATACATCACAATGTTCCTTGCTTTATATTTTTTAGATTAATTAAACGTCTTGGTGAGCATAAGATACTTTTTCCATAATCTTCTGAAAGGTCATTTCTGTGAATTAAGTCTCTATTTTTTACATGAAGAGTAAATGTAGGCTTTATGAAGAGCATATAAATTCATTGCTGGCATATAGTTTATGAATGCTCACCATTCTGCAGAGTGGCAGCTCTGGACTCTCTCCCGACACTAGTTTGGAAATTTCCTCCCAGTGAAGGCACATTTCCAGATGCTACAAAAAAAATACATATATGTATAATGACAGTTTGATTTACCATACAACTTCTCATTGCAGCACATTGTAGTTAAAATGCAAGGCGCTATCGCCATCTGCTGTTCGTAGACAGTACTGCAGATCAAAACAAAATACATGCTCTCATATACAAATAAACTTTGAAGAGGAACAGCATTGCAATTTACAAAAAAAAAAAAATGATTTATCATACTACTATGCTATACACAAATTTTTAACACTTTTTAGAAGAATTTTTTTATATGAATTAAACTAAGAAAACTAATTTACTAATACTAATGTTGACCAAATAAATTCATTTAAATCCCTGTACTATCCAGCTTATTTTTCAAGGCAATTGTAACTTTATTACATTGAGGCTTGTGGTTTCATTAACTTCAATTTAGTTTTATTATGCTGACGGATGTTGCAAACTGGTATTTTTATAACATTACCTTAACATAATATTTTATTTCTAATGCAGTTTGATAAAATTTTTATTCTGATAATGTAGTTTAAGCAGTTTGACTTGTTACTACTAGTCATTTAACCAATAGTAACAAATGAATCTGAAGTCTAACATATTAGCAGTACATATTAGCTTATTTCAACATTGCCAAATAAGATGGATAAAAACAGAAGCAGATTGTCAAAGCATAGAAAAGATCTCACATGGTGACAACTGACAAAGAAATTAGATATAGATATTATAGATTTAGGTGACCCTATACTACCGATTTGACATTTATTCCCACAACTTAAATGTACTGTAAAAACTTATTATATATTTTTTATTTATATATTGTGTTAGAGCTGCACAATTATATTATTTCAGTAGCAATTTCGCAATGTGTGCTTCCGCAACAGTCACATCGCAAGATATGCAATGTGGAGTCTGAATATTAGTTGATTGGGAGCCACAGAACACGTGATTTATAGAATCACTGTTGAGTTTTACTATAACAGAGTGAAGGTTTAGCATTTGCATGTGCTTTTAAAGCCTGCATCTGACTCAGTATTTTAAGAGAGTTTAAAACATTAGTTTAACAACATGATGTTTGGAGGTGTTTGCATTGCATTTGTGGAAATATAAATTTATCTCATCTAATTTCAAATTAACAATAATCTACGCATAACTGAAAAGTTATATTCTTTAGTTTTTTAATTATCTCATTTCATTGACATGCCAGCTAGCAGGGACATTTAACCTTTATCTTTCTGACTACAGGCTAAGCCAGTGATGCAAATGCTTTAAATGACTCTGTCTTTGTCTTCGGGTGTTGCTTTTATGCTACAGAAACCCTATGTTGATTAACTTGTGTGGTCAGTAGCTGGGCCGTTTTTTAAAACCTATGCCAGGTTGACTCCAACTCTTAATTTGCATGCTTTGTTTAGCCATATCCCCTCCTCCTAAGAACACAATATAGACATGAAATCTTTGTCTTAAGTCAGACTTGTGTGAGACTTGAGACAGACTCGTGAAAGAACTTGCAGACTGCGGACCTCTAGTAGGCTCTTGCAGACACATGGACATCTTAAAGACACTGTATGACTGCAGATTAACCAACACGTCTCAATGAAGGAATTCTGCTTGTTTCGAGTCTCCTGGACTGGGTTCTCTCTTCTTTTCACTCATTTATTTTTTTTTACAACACATTCATACAGAATTTATGCAAAAAACAATTCTTCAATTCATTTTTGGCTGATTTCTAGTCCAAATATCCACATTTCAAAGCGAAAACAAGATTATTTTACTAACTCCATTAGCAGAAAATGTAGCTTGTTCTAAGGAAAAACCCTTGTTTTTGACTTACTTCTTCTGAAGGTAAAAACAAAACAATATTTTTACTTGATTAAGAATTCTTTTGATATTTGGACTACAAACGAGAGAGTAAGCACATATTTTGCATTGTGATTAACCAGTTTCTATACCTAAATACTGTTTATATTTGTCCCCAGAAAACTGTTAAATAGACCTAATCAAACCATTTTGTGAAACTGTATCCCAGAAAAATAATCAGATTTTTCCAATATCGTGCAGGCCCTATATTGCACTCACTTTTAAGAGTACAATGATAATGAATGAATTGCTCACCATCGCCAGCGACGAACTGGCCAACAGCTGACGATCCGCCGCCGCCACTCTCCACAAAGGTGACCTCAGAGACGATGATGTTGTCCTCCAGCACAGAGCCACAGCCCATGCACACCGCAACACCCCGAGCCTGGTCCACATCGATGTCTGTCCCACCGCAGGTCTTGCACCGCCCCATGCTCACGATCAGTCAGCTTACACACAACACAGGGAATGAGCTCTAGAAGTATGTAAAAACTCATCAGAGAACATATAGTGAACATTGCCAGAGCTACATAAGAGGTTAATAGCATTCTTCATAGTTGTCAGTGGCACATTTTAGAGTAAAGCTTTAATTTACTTACAGAATTCAAATGTTTAATCACTCCATTTCATGTTAATCTCTTTTATTTTTAAGTCAAAAAGTCCATTTAAGTAAATTTTTTATAAAGAATAAAGGGGTTGCTCTTGATAAAGTGATCGTTTTCTAGGTACAGGTCTTGTGACAAGGCTAGGATGGTGTAGAGCCCTATGAAACTGCAGTTTGGTTGTTCACATTACCAAGCGCCATAGTAGTCAACTTTATGGAACAAATCCTGCATGTTTTCCTCAAAAACCTTTATTTCTTTTTGACTGAACCAATACAGAATTCAACAACTTGTATGACAACAGACCTAACTAAAGAAGGGGGAATATATACAATTAAAGACAAATTATTAATCGCACCTGTGAAACTATTATATCATATATTATATAACATACAGTAATTATTATAAATAAAATCTCCAGGTTTGTACAGCCCACTTGGAGCTCGAAGGCCCACCCACTTGGAGGAGGCTCCGACCTCCGTTTATACTCTTCTCAAATTATTTGACAAGTTTGTTTGTATATTTGTTTGTGTTTAATGCTATGTGGAAGAAACTTCTCCAAGTGTTAAAAACTTGTGTGTCAAGCAGGAGTGACCGATACTACAGCGGGTAAAAAGGTTTTAGAGAGGTTCCTTTTACCAACATAAGGACTAATTTCATGGAGTTTGTTGCTTTTAGTTTCAAAGGGACATTGGACAAATTTGGGCGTTTGCACTTCACAAGGGATGTTTCACAGTTTTTCCTATTATATTTTCCTTATGGAAAAAGTCATCTTTGTTTCATACAAAAACAATTATCAGTCTGAGGCACTCGAAAACTAAGTAAATAAGTTAAAAAACCTTTACTGACATGGATATAACTTCTAATTACAAACTTGGGAAAAGAAGAAAAACGTACTATGCATCATCGTTCTTGTTCACTTTTTTCCACTTATGATTGATGTTTTTTTTTTGTACACCTTTAAAAAACCCTTGTTCAAATACCACAGGCAGATTAATTACCCCAAAGCACTTTTGTTTGTTTCTGGATCTTATTTTTTTTTTAGTTTGTCAGGAATAAAAATAAATAAATAAATAAATAAATAAATAAATAACGACTAATGTCAATATTATTGCCCCTTTAAAAATGTGTGTTTCGATTTTGTTCAGCTACAGAACAAATCACTGCTGTCCAAACTAACCTAACTTAACCCAAATTAACCTTACTTGCCTAGTTACCCTAGCTATGTCTTTAAAATTGTATTTTAAATGAGCTTTTAGAAAATATGTATTGCTGTCGGCGCCAGTGGTGTAGTGGTTAGTGCGTCGACACATGCACTCCGATGCTCGTGGCGACCCGGGTTCAATTCTGCCTCGCGGTCATATGCCGATCCTTCCCCTCTCTCTGCTCCCCATGCTTTCCTGTCTATTCTCTACTGTCCTTTCAAAAATAAAGGTGAAAACCCCTAAAAAATTATTATTAAAAAATAAAAAAGAAATTATGTATTGCTTAAAGGGGTCAGGCCCATAGCCAGGGGGATTCGGGTGATTTGGGTGGTTCGGAAGACCCACCCCTCACTGACATGAGCTTATTTGTCAAATTTTGACTGCTATGCCATTATAAATAGTATAAATAGCCCGTCAAAAAAGACTTTAAGACCAAGCAGAATCCTCTGTTGGCTTCTGCTTCAATTTGACTTCTGCTAATCAGTTTGGCCAATGCTAACAATTTTTTTCATGAGTTCAACATCCAACTGTGCAAAAAAACACACAATCTGACATAAGAGAAGTAATATTTCGCTACTGTATTGTTTTTTAATGGAGAAAACATTTTACAAGAAACTTTTATTGTAAATGATGGGCCTTATTGTTGAAACATAAAATGAGCAATAAAAAGCTGTGAAGTACTAAAAGTGATCCATATTAAAATTGAATTGAATACTATTTTGGAAAATATAGTCAAAAAGTGTGGTTATGATAACCATGCGACAAGCTAATTCAGAATAGTGTTTAAAATGTCAATGAAATGCATTATTAAAATTTCATAATTCAATAGAAAACGAGGCAAATAATTGCAAAAAGGTCCACTTTTTGAGAGAAAAAAGAACCACCCTTTTCACCAGGCTGGCTAGTGGTTGGTGTCAAATATTTTTGTCATCAACTTTACATTTAGAACCATTAAAACAAATTTTAATCATTTTAGTTACTAATTCAGTAACAATAATAAGAAAACTATTTTCGGAAACAACATTTATCATATATCACACTTAAAATGTTCACAGTTAAACTTAACTTGCATTCACTTTAAAATGTACAGCTGTGATTGATTTGAGAAAGGACTCATCATCAGTGGCGCAAAAAGGGGGTATGCAGTGTATGCGGTGCATAGGGGCGCCACACATGGGGGGCGCCATTGTGCCAAAACTATTTTTGAAATTATGCATGTTATTATACATATTAAACAAAATAAATACATATTTTTGGTTGAAAAAAAATGTTTATCCTGCATTTTATATGAATATACAATTGTATTTTATTGAATACAAAATTATACCACTCCTCCCTCTTCGTTGACCTTTTGATTGATCCGTTGCTCGGTTACAGTCACATGTTCAAAATGGAGAGAAGAGTAAAGAGACATGGAGCGCGAAATAGAAAACAAAAAGAACAAACAATGCTTAAAAATGAAAACTGCCATGACAAATTGGATGATAAGGGATTGGTAAGCTTAACCCACACTATTATTACCATACTTTTAATCAACTTCTAATGTTTTTGGGAGTGACGGGCTGCCATATAATAAATTATTCATTATCCCCACTCAGTCTCTGCATGGGCTTTTACTTAACATAAATGCAATGACAATTAGTTTTGTTTATGCTAATTTAACATAATATTAGTTGTATTTAAAACAAAACATGCTTACATATTATTAAGTGTGTTTGTCTGTTCACAAACTTGAATCTGCTTACATATTATTAAGTGTGTTTGTCTGTTCACAAACTTGAATCTCAAAGTATCCGCTTTCATGCATCTTCAAATCGCGTGTATAGAAGCCGTCTTTATCACTATGTAGCGCGTCCGTCACTCAGCACCGTTATACTGATTCAGAGGCTGCATAAGAGCGGCAATAGACGCATAAAGCTTTACTGGAAAAGACGTGAATGCGGCCGTTTTTACATCAATTTCATCGTGCTGTCATTCCAAAATAATGCGAAAGCTTACTTCTCTTAAACAGTTCTTGCAATTATATCACATGAGATCGGCTCTGTGTAGCTACAACTTTCACTTTTCACATAAACATTACAAATGTAGGAGAAATGCGGAAAAATACACACACAGAAGAGCAGATAGAATGGTAAAATGTGGTAGAATTAATTTTGCAAAAGCAAGAGGGTTTATTGGTATGAATTGCATTCGTTGGCACACACGTTTTAATTCAAATTCATTTAAAACAATAACATGCAGTCACACATCCAAGTGTAAAGTTTATGTAAAAGTTTTATCAAAATAAACTGTTATTAATCAAAAGTTATAAGAGTAATAACTTAGAGTAATATAATTATTAGAGTAATAACAAAATGTGTGTTTAAAAGTACATACCTAAATATTATGGCCAGACAGAATCTGCTAAATATTTTTGCTATTTCTGCTGGGACTTTTGTAAAAAATCTGCGGAATGATCTTAGGATTATCATAACTAAAAACAGATAAAAACTATATATATATATATATATATATATATATATATATATATATATATATATATATATATATATATATATATATATATATATATATATAATATGGAATAAAATATTATATCTTCAATTTTATTTAACATTTACAATGCAAATCAAATTAGATCCACTTATTTGGTAAACAAAGCAAGTCTCTCATATATCTATTAATGTTTCTACTAAAAGGCAGAAAATACTACTTTACCAACTGTAAATAAATCATATGAACATTTTAATATTACTATTATTATATTACAATAATATTAGTGAAATGAATTTAAAAACTGAGTAAATATAAATGTACACACATTTACACAATTAAATACATAGACTCAATGATGGGCTAAAAATCTGTAGAAAACTGCTGATTTCTGCGCACGCAGATTCCGTGTGGGCCTACTGAATATGTTTCAGACAAAATAGAAAATAATATTTTGATTAAAAAATTCCCCTATATAAATTTTATATATTTGATTATAATGATTCTTAACCCTGGTTTAAACTGACACATGAACAAATATTCAGAATTTTCACATTTTTTGGAACTGAGATGTTTATTAATCCTATAAAGATCCATTTTTATACCATATACATGTTTTTATAAATTTATTAAATATCATATTGATACATTAGGCATTTTGGAGTGGTTAAGGGGGGCGCAAAACTTGAAATCGCATACCCCTCAGTAAATGTGCAGTTGCGCCCCTGCTCATCATATATAATATTCCTCAACATTCAAAATTTAGAAAAATCTTGGGTTTTTAAAATGCAGTGTTGTGTGAATCTCTAAATAGCATTTGGCATCACTGAATAAAACCTCAAGAAAATCACTGAACTCATAAATGTTCTGCAACAGCGCCACTCTGAGGCTTCAAAACAAACTGCGTCTCCGACAAGCCCACGTTGCATTTTGACACATTTTGAGTTTAAACTCCAGGACAGATGGGAAACGAATCAGATCATGAACTCCTGAGAGTCAACATATGTTGATAACTTCTAATTACTGTCAACGCCCTGTTACATCCAGGTTACAACGTGGCAATCTGCTTACTTTACAAGCAAATCTGGAATTCCCCAAAATCTACTGGTTACCCTTATCGATATCGGTTAATGTATTATTAAGATTAAAAAGCAGAAGTAAGTATCTCGAGCAGTTAAGATATACGACCTCAGGCTTTACCTGTCTGCTCCAGAGAGCCCGTAAAAGGCCTTCCAGCTTCGTTTGTCGAGATAACAACCGTGAACCTCCCCAATTTCCGTTATTTAACAGACGGTAACACTGATTAATTTACCAAAAAAACGGACGTGTTTCTCTGCATGACAAGCCGCTACACTGGGCATTCCGCTCCACTATCAAAAACAGCCACATGTTTCCAGTCAGCGTGCGACCGGCTCATACCATTGTGAACGTGAAAGGGGGGACAAAGGCACACGTTTATTATAACATATTGTGCGAAACTATGACACGGTATCGGAAACGCTATTGTTCTTTCGAACTTGACTTTTACAGAACAATTGTTACGACATATTGTAAATAAAGGACATATAGGATTCGGTAGCTTGTTAAATCTTGGCTGTTTTCCCTGTCTGATGACATGGTTTAAACGCTGTCTCATCACGCTGACGTAATTTGTAAACGTAGAGTGCAACTTTGTTGTCAGTACATTCATTAGAGCATAACATATATAATAATATACAATAATTTTTATTTAACTCTCTCAGAACTTATGGTTTTTGGAATAACTTTGTTAATATGGTGAAAATGCTTTATAATGACATTAACTCATTATAAAGTTTTGGTTCATCTGGAAACCACTTAAACGTTTTAGTTGTTATAGAGGTGTGTACCAAGGCTGCCCCATTTCCCTTTTTTTTCTTTTAGCCGTTAAATTATCACTTAACATCTTACAACATTAAAAATTTTTGACAAATTCTTTTGTTTGACAAATAATTAAAATTTCTCAGCTTGCTGTTGATACCACTTTATTTCTTAAAGATCAAACTGAAATTCCTTTAAGCCGTAGTATTATTTAATCTTTTTCTTAAGCCCCAGGTTTATATTTAAATCTTACAAAGTGTGATTTTTTTTTTTTTTTTTTTTTTGTCTCTGATACACTGCAATCTTTGATACACAACATACCTGTGAAAGATTGTGTGAAGTACCTGGGGATTTTCCCTACTGAAGATAAATAATCTCGTCAAAATCTGAATTTTTCACCTAAAATTTCAAAAACTAGAATTATCTTTAATTCATGGCTTCAACATGACTTATCCATTTATGGCAGGTAACCTATATCCAAAGCTGAAGGGCTGTCTCGTTGTGTTTATCCTGTGTCTCTTTTTGTCCGTGACAAAGTTGCTGATGATGTAAATAAAGTGTTATTGAATTTTATATGGAAGAATAAATCCCATAGAATTAGGAAATCAGTCTTATCTAACAGGCGCTCAGACGGTGGATTGGAGGTTTAAATTAGCTCATTTAGAATTAATCTGTTAGAAAGATGTCTCTGTTTTATTAACTCGATTTAATATATTTTCCCAATGTTATATTTGATAAATTAGGTGGCTTAGACTTTCTTTTAAAATGTAATTTCATCCTTCTGAATTGCCAATTTCCCTTTCTAACTTTCACAAGTTTTACTTGCCTGGAAATTGTGTTACGTACATAATTTTTCCCCACACAAAGAAATTCTTTGGAATAACTACTGTCTTAATTTGTGGGAAATCTCTTTTTTATTGATAGGGGGTTTAAAAGAGTAATTGTTTTTGTTTTAGACCTATTTAAAAATTATGGCAATATTCTGGAATATGAAGAATTTATGACATTCTATAATTTTCATCTGCCAGTCAAATCCTTCAATTGTGTTATAAAGAGTTTGTCACCAAATTATGTGCACTTATTTAAAATGTTACTTTAATGAGAGAAAAACAACCTAAACCTTTATGGTGGAGTGTCCTTTTTTGATAAAAACAAAAATTTGATAGAAGACATGTAAGACGATTGTTATATTACTCTGTATATACCTCCCCAAGATGTACATTTTCCAGGACCAATTTTTCTGACGGCATTCAATGGACCTGAAAAGTTTAGCATATTCAACTAAATAAGAGAAATACATTTTAAGATTATACATAATGTTTATCCTACGCTCTCAGAAATAAAGGTACGCATGCTGTCACTGGGGTGATACCTTTTTAAAAGGTACACATTTGTACTTGAAGGGTCCATATTGGTACCTCAAAAGTATATATTTACCTACAAATTTTAAAAGAAACACTTTTGTTTTTTTAGGTACTAATATGTACCCTTGCAGTATTAAAATGGACCTTTTAGGTACCAATTTGCACCATTTGGAAAGGTACCACCCCAGTGACAGCTCGTGTACCTTTATTTCTAAAAGTGTACAAATTCCCAAAGCGCTAATTATTTTGATATATCTAATTCGTGTACTTTCAATATACATGAGGTGACTTTATTTCGCTTATTCTTGCATTCACATTAAAATTCTTTGGAACATTATTTTTTATGTATTGTTCTTCTTTAAATATGATTTTAAATGGTCAATAAAATATATTTTTCTGTATTTCTCGTGTAATGATCAAGCTCTCAATCTTATTGTAAATCTTTTGTATTACACTGTAAATTTTTATACACAAAAAAGTATTTTTCTAGATTTAATAGTTTTCTTACTGAAACTTATTTCAATATTGAATCTATAAGCACATTAATAATAATAAAAAGAATGACAATAGTTTCTTAAAACTTATGATAATCTTTTGCTTAATAATTGAGGATTTGGAAAGTTTTTTTTCTCCTTTTCTTCTTTCCTAAATATTTGTTATTGTATTTTCATTTCAATGCAGTTGATGTTACTTTTCTTGGATTTAGTTTAAAAAAATAGTTGTCAGTAACAGTCCAAATTAAAAAAATATTGTGTGTGTGTGTGTGTAACTTTTTGTTCAATCTTGTCTAAGTGTGCGCTCACACAAGGCTTTATTAGTATTATTTTACTAAGGACCAAGGTATTTCACTGTGACTTAATTGCTTGGTCAACTAATTTGTCTGAGCCTAATTAAGTTGAGAGTTGTGACTATCTGCATTATTTGGATGAAAACTTAAACACTCATATTGTGAATAACCTCTAATAACTGTATAAATAACATCCAGCAGATGCGCTGAAGGTGGATGCAGAAGTCAGGGCAGAGTTGTTCTTTCCCCCATGTAATAAGATCCAAGAAGAAGAGAAGGAATGTTTATCAAACTGCCCCTAAAAAAGACGAAGAACCAGATTAAACCAACACAATCTCACAACAATTCGTAATTTTTTCATACAAGATCAACAAGCCAGACATCATAAAGGAAGGTAATGCATGATCAGTGCTTGATACCGACACAGTGCCTTTATTACATTCAAAAATATCAGGTTGTCAGATAGTTCACTCAAGTTCACCACTAAATATCAGATTTCAGCTTTTCAGATTTCAGAAGTTCACCTAAAAATGAAAATGTACTCACTAATCACTCACCCTCAAGTGATCAAAACCTTGAGGAGTTTTTTTTTTTTTATTCAATTGAACACTAAAGATGTTATTTTGAATAATGCTGGAAAAGTGTAACCATTGAAATCCAGTGGGAACACAAAAATACACGGAAGTTATTGGTTATAGGTTTCCAACTTTCTTACTTTGTGTTCAACAGGATAAAAAATAACCAAGAAAGTTTGGAGCAACAGAAGGGAGTGTAAATGATGACAGAATTTTTATTTTTGTATGAACTATCCCTTTAACCCAACAATGGGTCAAATATACAGACGAACCCAACAGTTGGGTCAAAAATGTAACATAAATGTGCTGTAATAAAAAACAGTGTTGGGCTTGTCCATGTTTTACCCAGCCAAGGGTTAGGAAAATCCTTCCTTTTTAATTCATTTAAAGTTTAAAGTTATTTGTTGTATTGCTTTTACAATGTATTGTGTTAATGTAGCTTAACATAGAAGTTATAGTCAATTGAAACTGTGTCAGTCCAGTTTTCAGAGTTGAAGTTCAATTTAGTTCAGTTTAGTGTGGTTTAAATTTCACTGCTGAAAATCCAAACACTGAAGAACAAATCCATAAAGTCACAAACCCAGCAAGCTGGAAAGTGTAAGTACAGGAGTGAGGCAAGGATGTTTATTAGCTCCATTTCTGTTCCTGCTGGTAATAACTGGATTTTGATGTCATCCACAACACTGAAGCAAAATGGCATCCAGTAGACATTATGAAATCATTTGGATGGTTTTGACTTGCTGATGACCTGGCCCTTCTCTTGCTCACACAGAAAAGGACCAACATTATAATAAAAGCTTCTGCAATCTTGAGGCTAAATTCAGTAGAGAAAAATTCAAGGTTTTAAAGATTAACACAGCCAGAAAAAGCTCAATATTGTGAGTAGGTGCTAGAGGAAGTGGGTTGTTTCCCCTACATGCAGAGTAATAGACAGATTTGTGGACAGACAACGCAATCACAGCTTTAGTTCAAATAAAGAACATCTGGCAGATTGCTATCAACACCAAGATCTGGGTTTTCAACACCATGGTGAAACTGGTATTACTGTATGAAGCCGGGACTTGGAGAGTTGCCACCACCACCATAAAGAAGAAGACGCAGGTTTTCATTCATTTCTTCCTGTGACTCTGGATAAAACACTTATCAGTGAAAGATGACACCCTTAATAAAACACTGGACATGCATGCGTGCATTGGACAGATCCTTTACAGGCCTGCAGACAGTATTACAGAATAGTCCCACATCTGGAACTCACAATAAGGGAAGAGGGACAGACAGAGAACCACCGATCACTGTGTTATGGAGGCAAAGAAGAAGAGGATAAAACTTTCATGGGGGCAGATGGAAAAATTGACACAGGACCAAGATGTCTGGTGAAAACTTGTTGATGGCCTACATTGTAAACCCTAATAAATTGAGATTACTCTAATTATTTGAGGAAATTGATTCCCTCAGTTCGTTTGGGTAATGGGAAATTGTCAACTCAATTAATTGAGTTGACCAAATGTGGTCTCTCCGTTAAATTAACTTAAATGTTTAATTACAGATAGCTTAAATGTTGAAGTACAACATTAAACATTTAAATGACTTAAATGGCCAATAGACTAAAGTTCAAAATTTTTCAGCTTATGTATTTTTTACTTACTCCCAAGGCTGTTTGTATCTAAGTTGATATTTAGCCACACCATGTTGGTGTTTTGTAACATCTTATTTTTAGTGGGTTGTTAGCCCAACACTCAACCTCCAACCTGGAGGACCAGGACATACACTATGGACAATTTAGTTTATGCAATTCACCTATTGCACGTCTTTGGAAAACCCATGCCAACACAGGGAGAACATGCACACTCCACACAGAAATGCCAACTGACCCAGCAGAGACTAAAACTAGTTCTTCTAGTACCTTCTAGTCTTATAGTAATTATTACCTTCTTGCTGTAAGACGGCAGTGCTAACCACTGCTCCACCATGTCACCCCTGTGTGCATATCAATTAAGAAAAATGTATATAAGCATAATGTAACTTTTCTCTTTTGTCAGATGGGTTCAGGTCACAAGCAAAATCATCACCTTGTGTCACATAACATATATCGACCAATCAGCACAGATGTCAAGGCAGAATTTCTAGCGCAACCAATCTTTTTTTTTTTAGTGTTCAGCTTTAATGGACAGGACAGTATAGAGTATTGACAGGAAAGCATGGGGATCAGAGAGAGGGGAAGGATCAGCAGGTCCAAGATGCAGGAATCGAACTTGGGTCGCCGTAAGCACCGGAGTGCATGTGCCGACGCACTAACCACTACACCACTGCCGTCAACGCAACTAATCATTTCAAACAGACATGATGAATCGTTTAAAGAAATTAAAATGCTACGTTCAGAGAACTTAAAATATTAAGTTTTTTGCTGCCTAATATGAGTAAGTTTAACCTGTTAAAGTTTTGATGCCTAAACTGGGCATTTTAAGTATAGTAAAGTTTTATTAACTTAATATCTTTAGTAATGACAACAGCGGGTTTACAGTGTATACGCCCCATGTAGGGGTAAAGTTTAAGAATGTTTGAGTCAATACTTCAAATGCCAAATGTATTCCTACATCAGTAGTTCTGATAAGAATTAGTCTGAAGCTTTTTAAATTACATTCATTAACATTTATTGGCTAAAAAACAAACTTTCAAGGGGCTTCAAGATTACTTGGATGAAACAACTAATAAAACATTTCACATTTTAGTTAAACCCCTTAACAGATGTTCTTCAGGTTGGGGAAAGTTCTCTCAAAAATCTGAATATGATTTTCTAAACCCGGTAATCTTTATTAATAAATAAATATACCAATTGATCATCACTCAATTGCTCAATTACTTTGATTTTATTGCTTTATCAAGGGTCTCCAATCCGGAATAAATCGGTAAACATTAGGCTATATTATTTTAATTTACACAATAACCTTCTGTTCTCTGATCTACGTAGCTGCTGTATGGAGAGTCAGCTGCAGGTGGGGCCAGTGGGTAAATCTTGGGCAGTTACGCGCTACTTTGCCTTTGTAAACTAAGGCGCACCAAGTAGAGCTCTTCATTTTCTTTAGCACCTTACCATGGGAGTTACACATCATTTAAACAGAGAAGCGGAATATCCTTTGATGAATAATTTTTATTTCTGATATCCTTAACTATGCACTGATCCGTTGGTTTCTTGAACCATGCGCCTGGACCCCTGCGACGATGCGTTGGCTCGTTTTGTTTTTTGGGGGTGTCCTTGTGGGTAAGAAATATATATTATTAAAAAGAAATCGCAAAGCCTTTATTGTAAATGCTCCAGGTGCAGTATAATATGCAGCACTGTCAATGTTCTTTGTCATCAAACATGTTGTATGCAATATGAAATGGAAATCTGGCAAAAACTTTTAAACAAACAAAAGAAAAACTTTTTTGTGGTGATAATGGGACAGAGTTAGTTTTTTTTTTTTTTTGCAGTTGTTGTTGTATATATTAGTTTTACTCAGTGAATATTATTATTAATTTTACTTTCTTATAAATTTTTTTTTTTATATAATTGTTCTGTATGAAACATACAGTATGTATTATCAAAGGTTAATAGGAGTTAACTTGAATTACTTTGGTCAAGCTGTTTGACCATGTTTTAATATGTAGTATTTGACTTTTTGTTTCTTTTTTAGTCTCTTCCTAATAATTTACAGAGTAATTTACATGGAACGAATGTAAATGGAATGCTAAAACTAGATGCTTCATCACACATTACACATAACTTTTATATTTTAGTATTTATTAGTTTAATTTAGAAATAAAGGGTTTCTTCAGTTTTACAAAACAAAACTTTTGAACTTTATTTTCAATGCATGCCATGACACACAGCCTACACAGCCTACAACAGTTAAAAACAAAACAATTGGCTTTGGATGATGTTAAAGGTTCTAGCCTTAAGCAAAGGAGTGGTTTGAGGACAAAAAACCTGACAAATGTATAGAAATACCACATCTAAACAAGGTCTTTAGGTGTACAAAACCCTATAAGTTGAGTAACTCACTCCAGTCTGTTAAAAATATATTGCTTCTGTTTTTAATAGAAACTCTTTTTGTAATTTCTAGAAAATAATGTAATGTACATGTAATAATTGTAAAATTAATATTCGGACTATTACACTGAATGACTATAAAGGGAATTATTTCAAGCATTTTTTTTTGCGTTATTTGAAATCAATCATTGTTTTACATCTGTTTTCCTGTATAAAGTCACTTTTGTAAATATGATGCAGACCCAAAATATTCTGTCTTTGCTTCTAATGCAGAGTTGCTGATTTCAAAGCTTTGCTACATCTGTGGAGCAATAACAATGCGGTTTAGCTACATTAAATCATCTTTATAAATCCTTTTTTCAATCAATCCTTTCCGGTTCACACTCAGTTACTTGGAGGAAATGGTAAAATATACACTTTTGTTTGTACTTTCAATGTTACAGCTCAGGGTTTCTGACTTGCTGGAGGCTTGACATTCTTTCTGTACCATTGTTGTCAGGTCCAGAGTTTGTTTTCATGAAACTTTTTTATATCAAAATATTCCATTTAAAGTCTACTTTTTTTGGAGAGCCGAGATGTAGCATGTATCAGAACATGACATCACTTGTCAAACAGACCCATGGCTTCTCAGAGAAATTCCAATCTAATGATATGATCAAAGCTGCTTATATCTTAGCTAACCTGACAAAGACTTTGCTGAAAGACATTCAGTGCAACCCGTACAGAGATGGAATGGCTTACGATTCATTGTACCATCTCATCTAGGCACATCAACCATTACAGGCAAGAATCTTAGAGGTGTATTTAATGATTTGTGATTCTTCACAGACCACATCATTTTAACTGCTTTTACAGATTTGCCTTACATTTGGAAGATCTGGTGTTTCCTATCGGAGTATGCTACACAACTCCTTGTCTTGTTTACATTTAGTTTTACCCAGCCTGAATAATTGCAATGCACTCTTGGTAGACATTGTAGCAAGCACTACCAAACTTCTGCAACTGATCCAGATTGTAGCAGTCATTAGATTGTTCAGTGCATCTCTGTTATCACATTTCCCTTGTTGCTAGTACATACCCGTATCAAAATCAGGGAACAAATTTTGCCCACAAAACAAACAATGGCTCTGTATCTCTATACCTTAACTCACTACTTCAGACATGTGTGCTCTCCAGAAGCTTGCACAAGTGAACAGTCCATGTCAACTCAAGCAGTCTTAAAATCTGCATATTTTCCACAGAAATTTGCAATGCTAGCACATTTTGTTATTGTTTAGGTAATCAATTAATCTGTGGAAGGGTCTCAGCAACTAAAGTCCTCTTTTCATTTTAAATTCAATCTATTTTTCTATTTATTTGTTTAAAAATCTTACCTTGTGATACTGTGATAAACTGATGCACGCTATGCTTAAAAATTGGTCCTATTTCATTTGTTTAATTGCTTCTGTTCTTCTCATTTGTTTGTCTTATTAGATAAACCCATCTTCTAAATGAATGTAGGTAATCTAAACGTGTTTCTCTTTTCCAGCCCCATTTGAAGTGAATGCCCCTGATAAACATCTGCTGGCTCTCAGAGGTCATTCAGCTGTTCTGGGCTGTGAATTCACACCAGACCTTAACCTCTCCAACTTGGTGGTTACCTGGCAGCGAGAGGAGGACTCACAGGTCGTTCATAGTTTCTATTATCAACAGGACCAATTGGAGAGACAGAGTCCAGAATACCATAGTCGGACTTCACTGTTTGTTACAGAGCTTCATAAGGGAAATGCATCTATCAGAATAGCAGCAGTTAGCTGGAAGGATGCTGGCCGGTACCTGTGCATAGTGAGCAATACAAAGGGAACAGGAAGAGCCTCAATGGAAGTGACTTATGGAGGTATGACTATGATGGATGAATATGGATGACCCTTATTGTACAATACTTGTAGGAGCTCCTAGATCCCCAAAACAAACATATAAAACAAATCTGTTTACACTGTCAGAAATAAAGGTACAAGAGAGTTCACTGGGGTTGGTGCACAGGTACACGTTTGAGTCTATAGGGTCCATGTGCCTCAGGTACAGTGTTCAGCATAATTTAGGACACCCCATTTTGAAAAGTAATGTTTTTCTCCATTTCTCTGTGAATATAGGCTATGTATTTAGTGCATTTAAACAAAACAGATTTATAAAACAGATATAGTTATTAAAATAATATTTTAGTCACCAAACATATTTAGAAATAGAAAGATCATAAAATTAAATTCAAGTAAAATATTGCAAATATATATATATATATATATATATATATATATATATATATATATATATATATATACAACCTACAAAATTTCAACTAAATTTCTTAATTTTTTTGCTTGTCTTGATTTTTCCTCTTTTTTAAATTATGTTTAATATTTTTCTATAACATAAATTTGGGTGTACTAGTTTTTGGACAGTTATTGTAAGTTATTTTGTTAGATAAGCTCTAGATTTGGCTTCTGTACTGACTAATCTAATGTATATGCACAAATATAATATTGTATAGTTTCCATGATCCTATGATCTCAGACCCCCTGTCATGCTACATGACCAGGCCTAAGCCTTGGGCTCAAGTATCTCCGAACCTGGGGTTTCTCTCCTGGGACAGCATGCCAAATCTGCAAATTAAATAAAGCAATAGCTAAGTGTCTCTTGAAACACTTTCCAAAACATATGTTTGTTGGGGAATTTGGTTTATTCAACACCAGGGCTTAGAACCAAGAACTGTTTCCTATTTAGTATGAGTCTTTTTTTCTTGAATATTGCAATGAATTGCATTCTGTTCTATGTCAATTCACACTCCACTGACAGATTACAAACAATATGGACAATCCCCAGATTAAATTCCACAATTTTTTAGACATTGACTCTGACCAACACTATCAAATCCCAACAGATGTAGGGGTTTACAATAGAAAAGATGACCAACTTGATACTTACTGTATGTCATACTTTGAGAGAGGTTCAAAGATATCTCAAAAAGGGTTATAAACTTGTTTTGTTTTTCAGTACAGTACAGTTGATTGTGAATGTCTTTTTCAGCACTTTATTCAGAGCCCAGATTGAGTATCCATCTAAACTCATCTGCATTGACAGTGGAGTTTGAGACGGAGGGTTTTCCCAAGCCTGAGGTGATCTGGGTGGATGAACACGATCAGACCCTCAGTTGCCCCCTGGAGCTCCTCAAGCACACAGAAGATGGGCTTTATTTAATAAAAAGCAGATATGAAGTCAAGAAGCAAGTGGTTAATGTAACATTTACACTAAAGAACCACCTTCTGAACCAGAATATCCATAGGCCGGTGACCTTCAGCTATGGTAAGGATTTCTCTTTGTGTGTGAAATGTGTGTGTGTGTGTGTGTGTGTGTGTGTGTGTGTGTGTGTGTGTGTGTGTGTGTGTGTGTGTGTGTGTGTGTGTGTGTGTGTGTGTGTGTGTGTGTGTGTGTGTGTGTGTGTGTGTGTGTGTGTGTGTGGAAGTGACGGTTTGAGACATGTCAGAGATTACTTCATACACTTTAGCAATGTTTCACTTGTCAGAAGTGATTTGTTGTCATAGTCCTCCCTGCTATTTAACATCACAGAATTACTTTATCTCACTCAGGTTGGATTTTAGAAATACCAAACCACACATTTATGTCATAATTTTAGACGTACTGTGTGTTTTGACAGGGGATCTGCATCTACAGACTTGATTGTGTTTATAAATGATGGTAGAACATTAGTAGGGCTCAACTAAGGGTGTGTTCTGAGTAATTGTTGATGGTAATAGTTTGGGTGTGACATCTGTGCATTGCTTTAGCAATAGTCAAAACTAATCTATTGTAATGAATAAGACACCTGTGGTTTTAAATAAGATTAGGGTGGTTTTGTGGTGCACATTTTTATGAGTGAAAAGAGATTTGAATCACACTTTGAATTGAAATGCTAGGAAATTGGGATTAACTCTTTTAACTACACCAACTATTATGAAACAGGAAAGATTAATTCAGAGATTTTAGATGGTTTGTTAAGATTAAGCCAAGCAAATTTTAATTTACCCATGCAAGAACAATAAGATCTTGCTAAATCAGCATTTGTAGCAATCATTTATTCATTTTCCCTCAGCTTAGTCCCTTTATTCATCAAGCGTTGCCACAGCAGAACAAACCGCCAACTTATCCAGCATATGTTTTAGACAGTGGATGCTCTTCCAGCTGGAACCCATTAAGAGAAAACATCCATACACACTCAGTAACACACATTTGCTACGGCCAATTTTGTTTATTCAGTTCACCCATGCCACATGTCTGGAGGAAAGGAAATGCCAACATGGGGAGAACATGCAAACTCCACACAGAAATGCCAACAGACCCAGCCGGGACTTGAACCAGTGACCTTCTTGCTGTGAGGCAACAGTGCTAGCCACTGAGCCATCGTGGTACCCCTTGTAGCAATTAATAGTACTTAAAAAGTGTGTAAGAATAAAATGACAATGAGTAAAGACTAAAATGAAAAAGATCTAAATGAAAAAGTTTACTTAAAATACAAAGCAGTACCTTGGGTTCAGTCAGAATGACCTCTAAACAACTTAAAGTCAAACCTTTCATACACTTTAATTTGACTGCTTTTCATTATTTTGCTTATTGTCTGTCATCACAGCTGTGCTTTATATGTTAATCAAGTTTTGCCATCTTAATGTCTGAGATGGTGCTGTGTCCCTCACCCATCCCCATCCGCATCCGCTCAATCCGTGGTCTGTGTGAGTCCTAATGCCCCTGTAAAGTGAAGGGGACACTACACTGTGAGTGAGCGCTGTCTTTCGGACGAGACGTTAAACCAAGGTCCTGACTCTCTGTGGTCATTAAAAATCCCATGGCACTTCTCGTAAAAGAAGGTGTTATTCGGCGTCCTGGCCAAAGTCCCTCAATCGGCCCTTACCCATCATGGCCTCCCAATCATCCCCATCCACCGAATTGGCTCTATCACTGTCTCTTTACTCCACCAATAGCTGGTGTGTGTTGAGTGCACTGGCGCCTTTGTCCTTTGGCTGCCGTCATATCATCGAAGGGGATGCTGTACACTGGTGATGGTGTAAAGAGGCTCCCCTCATGATTGTGAAGCGCTTCAGGTGAATGGCCACACACAATAAATGTGCTATAGAAATACACATTACATTACATTGAGTGCATTGTGTCTGACATTACATCACTGAGTGATGCAATCTCAGCTTGCACAATAAAGGGAGCATCCAGATACTATTGCTTTCGCTTGTTTTTATTTTAATTTTTTGCAGTTAAAGATTTAAAATAAAACTACTTGTTCACTGTACTTGTTCACATTTAGCTCAGGTTTTATCCATTCACAGTAAGGTTATTAATCTTTTCATAGTTGATGAGCATCTTACTAACAAATAGTGTGAGCAGAATATTCTGCACTTTAAAAAGGGATTAGTTGACATTATTTAAAAGTGGGTAAACTGCATATATAAATTATGAATAATTATAAAACTTAAGCTAACCACTCCAGTTACAAATAGGTTTACTCAATTTTTAAAGTAAAATAAGTATACACACACACATTCACACACACACACACACACACCCATGTAGTAGTGGGCTGCATAGGTGTAGCTCAATCAACAGGCTTGGGAAACACTATATATAGCAGATATAATTAGCAGCGCTGGGTTTTTCCCTAAAACTTAAACATCTTTCAACAGAGGAAATGTGTTTGGGATTAAAGCAGTAGCTCACTCTTTTTTTTCAACTGAATATTCTGTCATTCCTTACTCATCTTTTATTTTGTTTCAAACCTGTTTGACTGTCTTTATTCTGTTAAACACAAAAGAAGATATTATGAAGAAAGCTGAACTTCTAACCATTCAATTCAATAGTATTTGTTTTCCTACTATAATTTAGATCATTCCAGTAGCTTTCTTCAGTATATCTTCTTTTGTGTTCAACAGAATGAAGGAATGAATATAGCTTTTGAACCAAGGTGACTAAGTAATGTGTACAATTGTATTTGTGTGTGAATGATCCCTTTAAGTCATTTTAATTTCATTATTTTTTTTATTTGATTATTTTGTTATTTCCTGATTATGAATATTTTATTTTAGACCGCAGTCTCCAAGTTCAAATGTGATCGGGCTGCTTATGCTTTTTCAATATTTGTACAGCAGCCTCTGTAGCTTAGTTACTATCTACTGTACCAACATTTTCCATTAGTGCAGCTCCAGAGTTCAGACAGTTTTTTCTCTAATGGGTGTACATTTCTAAAGGTCAGATTGCAGACACGGTAAATGACATTTTAAATAACACATTTGGAAATAAACTACCCGACTAGTCAATATGGTCAGTGGTGTTAACAATAAAGATTTTTCGGTTCACAATTACTCTAAATCAGGCCATATGTCGATGATTAGTTGTGTCTTGTAAATGTAAAAATGATGCAATGCTTTTAATGCCCATCTTACCCAACCTCTAACCCTACCGTTTACAGTGACGTCACTAGCTCCATTAAGTGCACATTGCACCTCTGAGATATGCAGTCTCAGCTTGCAAATGCAAATCTGCATCCAGATTCTATTGAAAATGATGGTTCTAGTTAATTATAATCCAATGCTACGTCTTATATCTGTCTTTCCCAACCCTGATTTTAGAGGCACACCACAGAATATTTTGGGTATTTCCCTTATCTGAGCTTTTGGAGTCTCTTCTACAGTCTACAACAGTATTACCTAAATATTTTTGGCGGCATACCTACACTACACTTCACCAAACACACCTGAATCAACAGTCGATGTGATTCCAAAACCTAGGTTCATATAATAAAGACATCCGAAATATGTACTCTTGGGCTGCATCCCAGTCCAATTTTGCATACCCTTCACACGTTAACTTCCCTCCATCTCATTCCCTCGGATGTATGTGTCACACCCCTGGTTTGATCACGCCGCCTTTGTTTATGTTGTCATGTCATTAGCACGCGTGGATGTTTTGTTTTGGTCTGTCACCTTGTGCTCAACGTAATATTCCTCCCTCCCCCTTGTTACCTTATTTTACTATTATCATGATTTAATTAATCTCACCTGGATTCAGTTATGCTCCTTCCCCTATTTAGTTCCCTCTCGTGTGTCATCCTGTGTCAGATCGTTGTGTGTCAGTCCGTGTAACAGTCTACTGAGTTGTCTCTCTAGTCCTGTCGTGTTGGTTGGTGTTATCCCTTCCAGTTGTGTTTCGCCTGGCCGTCATCTAGCTTCTAGCGCTCTGTCCTTCTTGTGTGTTTTCCCTTTTGGCTCATATCCCTCTGTTCTCAGGCACCATCATCCCCTCCGCACTGAGTTCTCCGACATCACCTGCCGTCCGACTTCCCCTCTCCCTCGCTCGCTCTCGTCGGTCACATCCAAAACAGCCGGGCCATAGTGCGCCCTCTACCGGAGGAGTTTGTAAGGACATTCTTTTCTCAATATATTTTTTGCTGTCTTAACCCCGGCCGTTTTTTTGTTGTTTTTTCTCCTTGTGTGCAGCGCGCCACTGGCCGAAAGACTCTGTTTTTTCCCCCTCGGAAATTTTTATTTTTCTCTTTTCAAACCCGGTAACGGAGGAGGTCCTAAGACTATTTATTTGATCTTTTTGGATTTTTGTGTTATTTTTTGGCTGTTATTTTGTGGCCCTGACTACTGCCTTTGCTGTTCATTAAAATCTTTACTTTGAACCTGCATTTGTGTCCTTCCAGTCCCATTCCTGACAGTACGATCTGACCAGAGAATGGACGCAGCAGGTTCAGACACGGTCAGAACTGCAGTCATCCAGCAAGGTGCACTCTTAGGCCAGCATGAGGCTAGATTAACCAACACCACCAGGGAGGTGGAATTCCTGGCCAATCAAGTGGCAGAGCTAACTGCACTCGTCCAGGACCTACAGCATGAGGCAGCCCAGGGGGGTCCTCTCCGTCATCATGATCCGGAGCCCCGTTGCAACAACCCTCCACCCTACAACGGAGACCCTAATTCCTGTAGAGCCTTCTTGTCTCAGTGTGCAGTGGTTTTCACCTTACAACCACGCACTTATGCATCTGAGGAATCTAAAGTGGCGTTTGTATTGACCCTCCTCACCGGTAAAGCTCGCGACTGGGGAACGTCAGTGTGGGAGACTAGAGCCCCTTGCTGTGCTTCGTTTGAAGACTTTCGCCAAGAAATGGTGAGATTATTTGACCGATCAGTCCGGGGCCAGGAAGCAGCGGACCAGCTGGCACGTCTACGCCAGGCAGGACAATCCGTTACTGAATATGCCATCGCCTTCAAGACTCTGGCGGCCTCCTGTGACTGGAACGAGGG